ATGTTTCACCAAAAATCTCTGCACAAGATGTGATGCATGATTGGGTATGTTGTTGTGATGAAGCTGCCAGTCACCAGTTGCCTGTAGCTGTGACCTTCTGAATCACCTGAATAGTTTCTGCAGAGGAATGTTCAAGCTTAACACAAAATCTGATGCAGATTCATTGCTCTACTCGCTCAGTGATTTTGAACGCAACAGCTGCTAGTACACGTGTTCACTCAACGACATCTCCCACCCCACTGACTAGTACAGTGAAATCATCATTGTTCACACATGCGCATTCCAGTCCACTCTCTTTGGCTGCCAGGTTATATAGATGCCGCACAAACTATCCACGTTATATTAAGAGTGGCTGGACTTTTTCCAAACAGACCTCTTATATGCTAAAATGAGACATTCACGCAATGTTTCTTTTGTTTGTTGATTTTAAGTATATAGCACTTTATTTCTTCTCTGTTGTTTTCACATCAATAAGCACTGAACTCTGATAAAAGAAGTCGCAGGGGTGAGGAGGATGTGGAAGAACTGGAGATCAGTGATCGGAGTCTGAGCCTGGACCACGAGGGTCTTCTCAGACCGGGTAAAAGAGGTGTTTTAACCTCAATCCAGACTCAACCACGGGCTCCACACGCCGCCATCTGCATCACAGAACAGCACTTCTTGGCTCCCTGCAACCTTGATTGCGCCACACAGAAGTAACATGGTGAAAGTGCAGGGGGTGAGAGCTCCGGGCAGTACCCGGGCCTGTCCACTGCCTTCAGGGATCCGGCTGCGGCAGGAGGAGGCAGAGGAACCGGGGGGAGGCGGAGGGTGAGCGCAGAGAGCCAGCTCAGCTCCATACTGCAGACGTGCATCCGTGCAACCTGTCTGTGCACAAATGACAAGGGGGCCTTGGGACACCTCTGTAAAACCCGAGAGCCCGCTGAACAGGAAGCGGCCGTTCTCTGCACAATCCCAGTGAAATACGTTATTGTTGCGCTGCCTGTCACTGACCCACGCCAGGCAAGGCTTGCAGAGTGAGGCTGTAATGATCCAGGTTTCAGAAAAAAAGCAATTGGCTGGAAGAGACGCCGCAGCGCACCTCTAGATAGGAACCCAGGGAATGTCACTGGCCACCTGCGTAAAAGCTCTGTTGACAATTCTGGACAAAAAAGAAAACCTTGGGGCAGATGGCAGGTGAGCCGAACAGACAAATACGCGTTTATCTTCCCTTTATTTCCGGATACCTTATTAAATTTCAAGGAAACTTCTGAGCTTAAAAGCTCACAACAGAAGGGGGCATCTTCAGTGGAGTCGGTGTTTAATGACATTTGGAAGGTGAGCGCACAGGAAAGGACAGACCGAAGAGCTCAGACAGCGCAGGCTCTAACCTGGACCACCTGCCGAGGGGGCTGGGCCCCTTTGTGTGTGGGCACTGTGGGGCAGGAAGGCACAGGCAAGGCATGGGAACTGCTTCTCCAAACAATGAAAAAGAAAGGCACACATGACTTCCAGGAAAAACACGCCTCCTCCGCAAGGAAAACTCCATCTATGACAAAGGCGGAGTCTGAATGTCCTAAACCAGGGTGCGAGTAGCATAAATGGCAGAGCCTGAGAAAGGGCAAGGCGTTCGCATAGGATGCTCTATGAGAGTCAGCCAGATTCTCCTCCGTCGGAGTTTAAGTCTGTAGGATATCGTGCGAAGGAGATACGTACCTAGACTGGAGGTAGGAGAAGGAAACTGACTTCACGGTGAGTCAGTGTTTCCTAGTTCATTTTCTAGAAGCCAAACACATGAATCGCTTTGATAAAATTTTTCAAAAATATATGTAAAACTAGACAAACTTTTCACTTCATCTCCCTACAAAAATGTGCTCCCTCCAAGACAACTACATTTTAAGTCCAGTCCTTCGTCAAAACTGAATGACAACAAGGAATAAGGAAAATAAACAAAATATGGCTTCAAGGAACTGGGCCGGGATAATCCAGAATTCTGGGAACTGTTGCTCTTATGAGAAATGCTGCAATCGAATCAGTGTGTGGCCAGAAGGCGGTGTTTTCAAATACATGCTGCTCTGAAGACAGCAGAAAAGATGGCCCAGGCTTGATGTAACAAATTGTGCCAATGTTCTGACAAGCAGATGCGTGAAGGAGTTTTGGCGCACATTTGATTGCTCACCTGTCTCTCCAGGGCCTTTTGTCTTGAACGAATTGTGTGCGTGCACAGGGGAGGGAGGGGCGGGAGGGTGAGAGTGCATTTGTTTGGGTTCTGCACCCCGTGGCCAGATTCTTGGACCCAAAAGCCGACCTCTTAGAGAAGCCTGTCCTCAAACATTCCCCAGGTGTATGAAGAATTTGTCACTGGCTTCTCTGTACTGATGAGCCCGCATGGGACTCCACTGTGGCACACGTCACAAAGCGTCACTGTGTTCTGGCACGTACTGTCTCCTCTACTGTTTGGTGAACCCTTGACAGGAAAGGCCAGCCATGCACACCCATCCCTGAATCCGGGGCCTAGCACGAGCCGCACACATGCTTGAGTCCTGGCGTCTGGCCCATTTGCAGAGCAACTAGGAAAGAGACAGCGACAAAGAGGCAGAGGGAGATTCTGAGTCTCGCTTCTGCTCTGTTTCACTTCCCTTCATTTTCGGTTGTCTCATCACGAAGCATTTTTGGGATTTATGAACCTTCCTTATCAGGATAACGGCATACACACAACCAAATACTTTGACAGAAGAGATTCTGGTGGGAAGCCCACCTCTACACCCTCGTCCTCCTCCCTGTGTGACTCTGCCACATGCTCTCCCATGGGACTTTGTCCCCCTTCAGTGACGCTGCTCCCCTGCTGGCCCCACACAGGTCGGGATTTCCAGGCCAGACCTTGCCCCTCCGCCCCCAACCACACATCCGAGCACCTGCTGGACACCGCCACGTGGACGGGCCACAGGCGCTCCCGGCTGAGCCAGGCCTGCAATGAGCTCGGGTCTCCAGCCCCGCCCCGGGACTGTGCTCTGACAAGGCCGCAGCTCTCAGGCGGCATCACCTGCTTAACGCCCCTCCATGCCACCCCCGCTGCTGCCTGTAGGATGGCGTCGAAGGCCCTTACGAAGGTGGACAGGCCCCCAGGTCACTGGCACCCGGCTTCCTCCCCCTCCTCCTCCTCCTCCACGCTTACCGCCCCCAAGCTCCAGGTCCCCATGAGCACTGTGCTCTCCTACCTCCGTGTCTGCCTAACACAGTCCCTTTCAAGACTGCGTGATGCTCACCTTCTGTTAGAGGCGTTTTTCTGAAATTGCTGCTACACCTTCCACTCGCCCACACGGAGCTACAGACCCGCTTGCCTCGACACAGAGCCCTGTGGGGACCGGCTGGCCCTTTGTGTTTAGGACAGAACGAACGCTCCATGTGCACAGAGGGGATGAAATGGAGCTCAGAGGAGTGAGCCAACGTGTCCACTGACACACCTCCTCTACGTGGCCGCGCGGCGACCAGGACCCTGGACGCCTAACCCAGCTCCCCTGCCTAGATGGCAAAGATGTTCTGGAATTTCACCTCGTCTCTCTATGCTTCCCATCCGGTCACTCGAGGACCTCTGGGGAGGGCCCCCCGCCTGTCTCTCCCTGTCCCATAGCCCCTGGGCCAGAGGCTGCAGCAGGAAAGCAGTGGCCGCGGGCCCCGGCCCCAGCTGCCGCCTGGTCTGCAGGACAGCGGCTTGGCCGCGGGCAGCGCCTCCGACCGCCTCAGGCTGCCCCTGCGCTCCCACCCGCAGACAGGGGCCCACTTTCCAGGACTTCCTGCCCTGCCTCCCCCCCCCCCAGGAGCGGCGCCCCGACTCCAGGCCTGACAGCTACCAACTACCAGCTGGCCCGTGTTCCTGGCCTCGGATTGGGCCCCTTCCCTGCCAATCCCCTCAGAAATAGAATTTCTGCTCTTCACAGAGCCCGGGCCAGGCCCCCCTCAGGGCCCTCTTCCTTCGCCCACGGGGCCTCTGGGGCCTCTCAAGGAAGCTGCTCGCTCTGGCCAACACTGCACCAGGCCTCACATGTCCCCTGAAAACCCCCGTGGTCCCCACTCCGTTCCAGGGTCCCTCTCAGACCGTGAGCCCTTCGAAAGCGAGGACTAAGTGTTGTTACTTTTGTTCTACGTAGAAGGCTTAGGACAGGTCACAGAGGGACAAATAAGGGTCCGGACTGTATGACTTCATCTCTGGACAGTCCCCAAAGCCCTTCCTTGAATCTCTGCACCCCCGAGCTTATTACCTGACATCTATTCCCCACAGGCAAGGCCCTCGGGTTGGGTCAGGGGCGTGTGCCCTAGGGGAGAGGGACAGGAGGCGTCAGCCGGGGCCTCCATCGGGGGCCTGTGCGAACACCCCTCCCAAACAACCGAGGCCCAGACAGGCAGATCCATGAGGAGAATCTAGAAGCTGGAACTGGCGCAATGGGAGGGCATGGCCCTCAGGCTGTAGAACGTGGGGTCTAGGGGGATCCCTGAAGTCGGGATCCAGGGGCAAAGCCAAGATCAAAGCACTAAGCAGTTACAGAGACCATCAAAGGGCCTGGCTGAAGCTCGGGCACCAGGCACAGGGCAGCGAGGCAGAGGCCGGAGAAGCCAATGGGTGCAGGAGGGAGAGACAGAATCTGCTAAAGGGCCTGGGGGGCGGCGTGTATCTTATCAATACCTGCGGCCGTACACGGCCGGGCCACAACGGCGTGGGCGTGATAGGGACGCTTCCTGTCGGCACGAGGGAGCCGCCGGGTGGTTTTTAATCAGGGAGGCGGCAAAATCCAACCCGCGCCTGGGGGAGGATGGATCACAGGGAGAGGAGAGTAGAAACTAACCAAAATGTTCCTAGTGCCATCAAACTGGAGAGGAGTGCTCTGCGGCATCAGCTGAGTGGCGGGGTGCTGGGCTGGAGCCCGCCCCCGCCCGTGGCAATGAACCCCAGTTTGTCCCAGAGTCTTGGGTCTCATCTTGAAATGTAAAAGTACAATTAGGACATTCACAGCCACTTCACTCACGTTAATGTTTGAAGACCACACATTTCGAATCCATCCCGGGTCTCTCATTATGGGAATCTGAAAAACAAAGACATTAGAAGTTAATGAATGAGAATGTTCTGGAATGAGATGGTGGTAATGATCGCACAATGGTGTGAGTGTGTGAAACCCCACCGAACTGTACGCTGCAACATGCTGGATTCTGTGGTCTGTGAGTGACATTTCAATAAGAAAGGAAAGGAAATGAAAAGGCCGTGGTGGCTTTTCTCTGAGCACGTTCATTCAGCGTGAGGTCTCCGTGACACGGAGTGCCAGGAAGCCACCGATCTCGCCCCTTCTTGCGAGCCTTTGTCTTGTCCCTCCCGAAGCACTTGTAACCTATCGGTGAAACTTCAGGAGATGAGGCAACCTGACCAAAGACAGGGTCTGGAGTCAGGAGACGTGCCTTCAAGGGCCACCTTGCACTATCTCTGAGCTGGGTGACTGCTCTGGGCTTGTTTTCTTACATGTCAAGTGAGCACAAAGCCCCCCAGAGCTGACGGGGTGCTGCGGCAGTAACTGAGTCCCAGGTGCAAGGGCAAAGCCCGGCCCACGCAGGGGCTGAGAAGGCGATTGGGGTGGCCTCATCCCAGCCCATGGGACCTGCGGAGTCTCCTTCCCCTAGGAGGCCCCCAGTCAGACCTCCCAGAGGGCTGCCGCCACACCGGGGTGGCCCAGCCGGGCTCACTCTTCCTAGACTTCGACGGCACTTAAGTTATGCTCAAAATCGTGTATGCTCTGAGTGCAGCAAAGCAGCCCGGAATCAGCAGCCCCGGGAGCCTCTTACTCCTGTCCGCCTCGCCCTGCTGCCCAGCCTGCTCACACGCCGCGCTGCCCCGGCCCGCAGTGGCCACTGGCGAAGAGCTAGGGGGACGCTCGACAGCATTCCTGATTCGGTTTTCCCCACGCACGCAGAGATGAGCGCAATGTAAATCTTGTCCTTGAGTCTCTGGTAGTCCAGTCGGGGGAGCAGCCGGGAAGACAGGTAGGGCAGTTTGTTGTGGTGACCCTAATACACTTCCTAAAAATTTAAAAATACTGCTACTATGTTACACTAAGTTAACAACTAATCTCTTTACAAGGGTTCTGCACGTCTCCAACAACACACCTGGAAAGAAAAGAAGAGACAAAAAAAGAAGGAAAGGAGGGAGGGAGGGAGGGGTGCAATCCTGAGGCTTTTGTTGAACTGCCTTCGGCTCAAGGACATGCATCCTCTCCCTGCAAAGAGCTAAATTTGCTCTTCTGTAACCTTTTAATGATTATGTCGCCTTGAACCATTTATTAAGTTCACACTCCTTGTTTATTAAGAAAGGGTCACCATCAGGACAGTGGGAGCCGCAGGGACCCCGCCTGCAGGGACCGCAGGGGAGGGTCTCGCCCGCAGAAGGCGACACTTCGGCTGCGTCTGAGGGTGAAGTGGGGCGCTCGGGGAAGAGAGGAGGGAGGAAGGCCATTCGGAGCAGAGAAGAGAGCGGGTTCACGCGCACGAAGGCACCGCACGTACATCTTTGGGGAGCGGCGAGGAGGGCCCGTGGCTGCGGGTGGGCCCAAAGGGACCCCGGGGGGGGTCCCTGGGCGGGAGACCTGGGTTGAGGGGGTCCTTTTCTTCCTCTATGTTTCCTTAAATGCTCCTCTCAAGCGCAGTCTTTGGCAGCAGCCGTATGCAAAGAGACAAAAGGGAGGTGTATGGCCCTGTCACGGGAGGGGCCCGGCTTCCGCAGCCGCGGCTGCAGAGCCCGGAGGTTTCAGAGACGCGGCGTGAGAGCCGTCACCGCACGTGGCGGGCAGCGCGGACCAGGAGGCCGAGCAGGCCTGGGTTTCACGGGAGGACAGGTGCAGAGCCCCGGAACCGCTTCTGGAATCAAGAGGATAGAGTTTCCCGTAGGCCGGGACCTGGGGGAGGAGGCAGATCAGAGTTAACGGGCTCTCCCCTCTCCCCGGGGCTGCACCTCCCTGGGAGAGCAGGGCGAGGCCACGGGTTTCCTCATCTACAGATTGCGTCACAGGGCAATCAATTCAATCCTGGTTTCAGCTGAGGGATGCCTTTGAAACACCCCCTGGCGTGCATTTCAGCCCCTGGGGAATACCCAGCAGGCCGCCAAAAATCACGCACGTTGGATACAGATGGTCGGAACCATCCAACTCCGATGCCTCAGGGGGCGCCAGCCGTCGTGCGCCCGCGCCCGCGCCCACGCACGAGGGACAAGGGTTGCGCTGATTCTGCCCTCACCAGGTAGGCCAGGGAGGTGGGCAGCAGCTCAGATTCACGAGGTGGATCTGGGTTTGGTCCTGATTAAAAGTAAAGTTTCAAATGAAGCACCAAATATATGTGGGCGGGGGAGGGACAAAAGTCGGCTTACAATGGTGAGTACGCTACACAGTTTATCCTTGTATCATAATGTATTAATTATTGTATTATTTTCCATACGAACAACTGCAAACCTGCTTTTGCCCCGCCCGGTGTATACTTTACTGCCATAGGAGCAGCGATGCTGTCCCCGCCAAGGGTTTGGATTGGTTTTAGAGATTAGATATAAACACAAGAACACCAAGAGCAGTGAGCCCATGCGTTCCAACAGTAATTGCTCTCAAAGCGAAGGAGAAAACAACCTCATCCCACCCACAGCTATTTGTTGTCAATCCACATTCTAACACAAACTTGGAAGCCCGGGCCTTGGGCTCTGGGCCACAGACAGCTATGAACCTTAGTGGAAGCGGAAAATGAACTTGGGTTCGAATCCCAGTTCTCTCACTGGGAGCTGTGCGGCCTTAGAGGAATTTCACCTTCCTAAGCCTCAGCGGCCCCGCCTCCAAATGCCAGCGCGTGGGACATTCCGGCTTCACATGCGAGTTAGGGGGCCACACAAACATTCAGTCCGTCCAGTTACAAATGTTAAAATTTAAGAGAGGAAGAAAAGGAAAAAATAAGTACGGACAGAACATGAAGTCACAAATGAGGGAAACGCAAATGTGCATTTCCTTGAGTCCCCCTTTTAGTTGCAGAAAGTGGACAGAAAGGTGTCCCTGGCTGCTGATGCCTAGAGAAGGTCCCAAATAACTACACAGGTCATAGCTTCGCTGAGGCGAACGCAAGCCCATTGTCCAGAAGGTGCTCATCTACTCCTGACACTGAGTGTCCGCTTCTGCTCGGCACCCAGGACTAGCCACGAACTTTTGCACGGTGCAGTGTTGTTTCACACGGTAGTGTCTCTTTTGATTCTTACCTTGGCTCTACAAGGTAACTATTTTATTGTTATTCCTTCTTTACGGATGAGAAGATTGAGTTTTTGTTGTTATTTGTTTAAAGATTTTTATTTACTTATTTTGAGAGAGAGAGAGGGAACGGGAAGGAGAAAGAGAGTGAGAGAAACATTGATCTGTTTGTTGCCTTTCATACACGCCCCAGCTGCGGGCAAACCCGCAACCCAGACATGTGCCCCGACCGGGAATCGAACCAGCAACCTTTCACTTTGTAGGACAACTCCCAACCAACAGAGCCACGCCAGTCAGGGCGGGTTTGTTTGTTTTTTAAGAAGAGAGGATTGAGGCTTAGAAAGACTCCGGTGACGGGCACCTTTGCTGATCCACAGGTTGGGATTTCCTGGCCAGCCTTTGTCCCTCACTCCAGACCGCACATCCAGCCCCCTGCTAGACCCCTCCATATGGACAGGCCACAGGTGCTTAAGTCAAGTCAGCAGACCCTACCGAACCTGGGTGTCCCCAGGGGTTCCCCAGAATAGTGTAGAAATGGAAAGAGAATCTGGAGTCAGGGGAAGTGGATCTATGTCCTGGTTACAATACTTAATAACGCTTATTGGGAAAGGTTTGAGCTTCATGTGGGCTTCAAAGGACATGTGTGCATGTGTGTGCATGTGTGTGTGTTAGATTACAGGGCACCTCACATGTTTTGCTGCCCCTCTCACTGACTAGCCCTCCCCTTTAATCTGAGCGGGCCTTCGTGACTTGCTTGCTCAATACTGTGCAGGACAAGGGCTGTTCCCCAAGCCCTGAGGCTAGGTTGTGGGAGACCTTCCCAAGCCGCCCATGACCCCCTGCCACGCCCCGGAGGGGGTGCCAGCGACGCTGTAAGGGGTTTCACTGCCCTGAGGCCCCTGGCTGTGCACGCCTGGGGGGCACTCCTGACACCAGCGCCGCCGAGTGGCCCTCTGGCCACCCCCACCTGGCCACCAGACACCTGAGGGAAATCACCAGCCCTTGCAGACCAGCCCACCCCCCAGTCAGTGGATTTAAGAAATCCACTGCGTCACCTCGGTGACACACGAGGGGCAGAACAATCCCCCAGCCAAGCCCTGCCCGCACCCTGACCCCTGAAACACGAGACAAAAAATAGTTGTTGTGTTAAGGCACCAAGTTCCAACGCAGTTTGTTTTGGAGGATTAAGTAGCCAGCACAGAGCACATGCCTGCAGGGACAGGGTCTGGATTGCATTTCTGTGTGATTGTGTACAAAACTGCACCTGTTATCTGTGTCGTGGCGGAGAGCGATTTTGCAAGGTGTGTGTTTGCTCTCAGCTACGCAGTCTGTGCCTCTGAGTCCCTGATACGTGTGTTTTTTATTTTCTGTGTGCAGTTATGGCCCAATGATGAGGCCAACTCTCCCGTGAGAAATCTAATCCACTTTGCCTGTTTATGAAGAGAAGCCACGCAGACCATAAACACACGCACACGTAGGCGTGTCTGCCCGAGAAGGTTTGATTGGAAAACAAGATCATAGCCTCAGATGAGCAGATTCTAATGGGGAATCCAATACAGGCCATCAGTGAGCGCCCGCTGTTGCCAGGAACTATGCCGGGAGCCAGGAATTTGGAGAAGGAGGAAACCTGGCACAGCGACCTGGGCAAGGCCAGCAGCATTGCGGAGACTCCGTGAGGATCAGGCCAGGATTATTCCCCGGGGGAGCCGGGGCAGTTCCAGGGGTCCCTGGGCACCCTGAAGCCCCAGCCTCCACACCTGTAAGATCGGTCCCTCTGGGCCGTGGGTGGGCGGCTCAGAGATATGCCACCGCCACTCCAGCCCCCC